AATGTTGAGTACAAAGATGATTATCGCCGAGAAAGAAGCCAAACCAAACTGACAACACCTGCTGTTGTGTAAATACAAATCCACCATAATAATAATAAGGCACCATGTGACAGGGCTTTAACTGAAAAGTACCAAATGAAACATATAAATAACAAACACTAATACCAAAGTGACTGTTAACAAATAAAATATGTTTTATAATTTTGAAAAGGTGTACACAATTATTATTATTACTTATTTTACTTTTTTTCCTTCTCATGCCTGATTCTTTCTTTAATAAAATCCCCCAATTCCTCCTCTGAATTGCTTTCTTCTAGCTCTATAATAAGTTCAGTTAATTTTTTTAAGACTGTTTGTTCACAATGAAACAAATCAAAATCATGTTATATAACTTTGAAAAGAAGTGCACAATGATTATTATTATATTTACTTCCACTTTTTTTTTCCTTTCCAGACCTGGTACTTTCTTTGATATCCCCCAATTCCTTCTCTAAACTGTTTTGTTCTAGCTCTATAATAAGTTCAGTTAATTTTTTTAAGATGAATGTAATCATCTTAAAAAGACTTTCTTTAAGACTCTTTAATCTTTTTAAGACTGTTTGTTCACAATGAAATGAATCGAAATCAAATAAGAATACACATAATTTAATACATTCCAATTTAACAAGAAAAGTTAAAATACTTAAAACAAGAAGGATACATTTGAGCAGTTGCAATATTTTACATTTCATACCATTTTAAAATACATTTTACTGCTTTGATTTAAAATAATTATTATTTTTCTTATATTACTACATTTTTATGTACAAAAATGCTCTTTTCTGCTTAACTTCCAGTACAAGGCTTAATATTTCGATATTATTTTAAATTATAAACATTATAAAATTCATCACCCTCCCTTTGGTCATTTTGCACCAAACATTCTAAATTTTCTTTACTTAAAAAATATTATTAGTAAAACAGAAGCCAAAGATTTTTCTAACATTCACTATACTGTTTCAATTAATGATTTTAAAATGATTCATTAATGGGACGAAATAATATAGAAAGCCCAAGAGCATTGTTTCCATTATTCATCTCTTAATCAATGCCCAACAGAACCACATTCTGTAACTAACACACACACACACACAACAAACAACTATGGGAAAAATAAAAGACATTGCACAACATTATTTACTGTTTTACCATAAATAAACCTCTCCATTTGCAAGCATAACTGAAGTTTTGGTAAATTATAATAAATGTACAATAACATTTTTTCTCAGAGGATCTACTATATTACTGAGGAACTAAAAAATCATTCTGTAGTACTTTTCTGTTAATGGGATGCCGTTTCATATCAAACGTAAATACAAATCTAAGTAGGTGATAACAATCCAAATGTTTTACTGAATCCCTCCTCCTAAATAAGTTGTCTATTTTATTAAATCCTGAATAAACACAAAAAATAAAAATAAAAATAATTAAAATAATTAAAAAAAAAAAAACGAAAAATAATTATGGATAAACTACAACTAACTAGTGCAATATTATTTCTGAAGAGAAGCCTATATTCCAATAAGAATACAAAGCAGTATTTAAATTATAATATCTAATAAGATATCTTCATTTCTACTTCACTGTAACTTTAATCTCGGCCATTCTTTTTTCTATTCCTCAAGCTTCAAGTTATCACTAAATAATTAGAGATTAATATTATCACTCTAAAAACAAATATACACAAAATCTGAAAGGTTTCAGATTTTAAATTATGTCCAAAGAGGCATTTTTTTAACATTTTACCTATTACCTTTTTTATTAAATATCATGTTCTTCACACTTAAGCCATAAAATTCAGTTCAAGAGCAATATCGTAAAATAGTTTTAAATTGAACATATCTTTAGAATTTTCGATACAAAGTCTTGCGCACTGGAGATAAACTCACTGGAGCAACGTTTTCTGTACAACGTTGCCAGAGAAATATACATATATTTATGCAGATTTTTCATTATTAATTTCTTCAAATATAATGCAGGACTCTAACATTTGTTGGCAACAGTTTGAAAAGTGAAATGGACATTTATAGTGAACCAACGCAACACCTGCACATTTAATAGGAGAATAACTTTCCTATTAAATGTGCAAAAAGAAAACAATAGTTCTTCAGGGACAAACCCCATTTGGACTAATAAAACAGATTTTACCAAATTAATTTTGAATATCCAAGAAACATAAAAATGATTTCATTTAACATTATCAAATTACTTTATTTTTCATGCAAACACTGCCACGTGAATTCAATGAAGTTATAATCCAAATAGTGGCTGCTAGTGCCATATTAATGCTTTTTTTTCCATTTTGCACATGGTAAACAATATCAGGATCAATAACACTGTATTTCTTGCATTTCTGATTAACTTGCAGATGCTCATGTCTTTATCAAATGATGGCATGCCGTTATTGCATGCACCAGGAAAGGAATCAAATCTATCAAATTTTGTTTAACGTTTTCTGCAACTTAATGCAACTAAGATGACACCTCTTGAACTACCTCCACATCAGGTGGGAGGGCTGGGTGATGTCAACAGAATCCTCAAAAGAGGAGAATACAAACTCAGCCTGGTGCACTTAAGAGCTTCAAACCACACCATAAACTTAAAAAAAAAAAAAAACTCTCTCCTTTTACCTCCAAATCTTAACTGGAAACTTGACGGATCTGAAGATCACAGAGGGGGGGGGAGGCATCTATTGACTCTGTGCTATAGACTGTCCCACTACTCACTTGGATGGCTGAAGCCACTACTACCCGGGACAGCAGGGCTCGTGTTATTATGCCCCCCAGAGCTGCTACTGTCATAGTATCATGCTGTTGTTTATTACCAGAATATAGTAAAATCATAATTCTTTTAATTTAAACAATTTTTCTAATTAAAAAAAGCATTTTTATTTTTTCCTACATTAACTCATCAAATGGTTTCTATGTATTGACAGTTTTCAGAGTAATTAAACTTTTAACTAAATGACATTAAGAAGCATAATAAATATCTTTATGCATAAATTAATAATTGAGGCAATCTAAATTATTCAAAATTTTATTAACTACAGCATAAAATGCAATGAAATATCTTGGCAGTTAATAGGTATTAGTAACTTGCAAAATCACTTTAATCTCTTAAATAAACATATGCATACATACTGACAAGCAAAAAAAAAAACTTGTAATTATTTCTTTTATATAGATACAAATAAGCTTATGAAATCAGAAATAAGTATATATAATAAGAATGACACTGATATCAGTTATCAAAAACATATATGTGCAGAAATCGCTTTTTGGCTACTCTACTATTAAACTCTACTATCTTATCTCTCATAAAAGGTGCCCTTATTTTTAAATTAAGTATTGTCAATAAAAGGTTTTTAAAGAATACAATTATTTACAATCCTTTTTTTATTAACCTAAGAGATATCTTTCTAACTTAAAAAAATTTAAAACAGCCCAAATGAGCTTATGATGAAAGTGTGTTTTCATTCTGCAAGTATCAAACTAATGCATGGCACCTTATCCTGCACGGGAAAAGATTTAAAGTATTTAATAAATATAGTTACTTATGCCAACAAAGAGCTACAGAGTATTTTGATTCATGAATTATCTCCCCCTGAATTTTGACTGAAAGAATGAAAACACATTGGCAAGAAAAACAAACTTGATTTCTGAATGTTGAATTGTTGATAATAAATTTAAGCACTCAAGTCAAGGAGTCATCAAGGACTGACAAAATTACATCAGAAGTGGTGAGAATATATACTTTTGAATAGAAAAATAAAGATTACCAAAACTCTTCATTCCCCCCTTTTTAAGAAGGGCAATCTTTGTTTATTTTTATTACAACCTGACATTTTAAAAAAGCTTCCAATTTAACCTGAATTTTTTTTTTTAAAGTTTGCATGTTCCCAGACATTTCCCACCCCTCCCCTACTTTCCATGAGCTTTCAGGTGAGGAGGAACACTAAATTACAACTGCATAGCTGGAGAGGAAAAAAAAGAATTTAAAGATAACAATCATTATAATCACCAGAAAAAGTGCCTTGCAGATAACTATATAAAAGTTTCTCCGAGAAAAATTATAAGAGTAACATTAAGAAAAAACAACAGATTTAAAACAGTGAATAAAAATACCATCAAATACTTTAGAATAATCAAATAAGTAAAAAAGGTATTTATGTATTAACACAGCCACCTTAGTAGATGTTGCCAAAATTTCACATTGTGCCAAACTCTGGCAACCATGTGCATAACCATTTTTCTGGCAACTATGGTCATAACAATCCTTCAGGATAGCACTGCCGCCATTTTCATATGCATTCTTTTTTGCTGTATTTCAAGTTCCAACAACTTTTATAAGCAAATTGTGGCCTTTTTTGCCTTAAACTTAGTTTTAAAATATGGGCTTGTGGAATTTGGCGGCAATGGAAGAAACTGTGGTAAAATTTTGGCAAGAATACAGAATTTTGCTGAAAATTTGCTAAAGGGAACAATGAGGAAATGTGTTTCATAGATAGCTGATGAGCCAAGGGTTGCACGAACTCTAGTCTCTCAAACTCTGGTTTTTTTTTTTAAGTGAAAACAGATTGCTATGTACTTCAAGAGTAGAAAGCCCCCCCCCCCCCGAAAAACACAGAAAGATTTAAATTTTTTAATATAATATGTAATCTTTATCTAATAATTCAAATTTGCAATTTAAATTGCTAAAGTACGTTTTTCTTTCTTATGCTAATCTTTACTAATTTATGATTAATATCAAAAGTGTGGGAATCTTTCTAAAAAAAGGCTTGAAAACCCACCAATTTGTACCCAATAAGTAACTTTCACCTTTTCAACTGTAAAAAATCAACTAATTGCACCAAGATGGTTGTGTTAATATATAAGTACCATAAAAAATTATAAAAAGCTTCCAAAAGTATACTATTTAAGATAAAATTATAGAAAATGGAACAAGAAAAGAAAAACAAACACCTTTATTATTGTGGTCATGTAGATTACTTTCATCTAATTCTTCATTAGTGCAAGCAGATGTAGAAGCTAAGGCCAAACTGAGCTTGTGACAAACTTCAAAAGCCTGACCAACTGTCCGTACAATGCGCATAGCTTGGCTCTAAAAAATATACTTATCTATACTTTTCTTTTTAAATAGCTCAAAAACTTGCTACCTAATTAATACATTTAACAGCTACTATAAAAAGAAACAGAAGTAAATATTTTTTAATATTACTACTACAGAAAGGTACAGCTGCAGATTTATAATAAAAGGAATATGAGATAATCATTACAGCTGATTTTGAATAGCAGATTTTAAACATATACTACACTAAGAAACAACTCAATGGCATGTAATTTCATTCACTGAAGAGCAAATCTAGCAAGTATTTTCCAAAAAATCCCCCCACAAATATTTTTTTTTATTTATGACAATAATAATATTCCAAGATGCACAAATTAATAAAACTTATAAGGTGTTTTCATGGTGTAACTGGACACTTATTTGGGAGGTCCTGAGCTGAAATCCTGGCAAAGAGCATTGCACATTTTTCACATTTCTGCATTGCTACAACCTAATAACTCTACAAGTGGTGCCCAAACTAAGGTGGTGGATGATAATTTGTCACCACCAGGATTTGGAAATTGAGTCTCCTAATGTTGTGCCACTTATGGTAAGTAAATTACCTCAGTTAATACTTTGTTTGAAAAAAGAGTAGCAATGCCTCAGTTTATCGGGAGACTGTAATTAGAACAGTAGTTCAAAAATTTTTTGGAAGAAATGAGTTTGTAATGAAACGTTTTGTTGAAAATAATTTAAATAAAATGTTTATGTCATTAAAAGAAACTTCTTGTCTGTCAATTCAAGCGAGCCATCTCATTTATCTGATCTAATGAGTATCTTTAGTCTAAAGTAACTGACACCTAATTTCCAGTAGCCCTTTAAAAGGGAGAGTACATAAGGTATCTTCTCCCTCCTTTTTGTATGCCTTTATGGTAACTGGAAACACACTCGATGCATATTTGGGAGGTGAATAGTTCATATTCTGGCAGAGGCACTGCACATTTTTCATGTTCCTGCATTAATATAACCTAATGACTCTACAAACCTGCATTTGCGAAAGACTGCCAAGAAGGTTAAGAGAAAAATTTAGTGCATCTGAAAAGAAACCAAACTTTATAAACTACACAAACCAGGGCTTAATTTCTAAGATTGGAAGTGCCGTAGCCCTATGGAAGACCATCAGCAAAGAGGAACAAGAGTAAATAAATAAATAAAATGATTATTAAACTCATTAATAATTGTAAAATTAAATAGTTAATTATTATCAAATTAATTAACAGCTATTTAATTAATGTTTATAAATTGTTATTTAATCAAGAATTATTATATGATTCATTAATTATAATTTAATTGATAATTATTACATAATTAATTATTATTTATTGAAATAATTGATGATTGAAGTAATTAAATAAAATGTAAAGGGATAAATTGAAATTTAATAAGCGATTTTTAATATAATTTTATCGTTAAAATAAAATTTCTACTGAAATTGTTATTCAATTACATAAAAGAAGTGCCGCAGACTTCTTATTCAGGGCTCCAGTGCGTTCCAATTAGAATTATGATTTATAACAAAAACTAAGAAGCACCAGCCCAATTTAAGCTCTGATCGTAGGGGGGGAGAGTTCTTTTATCATTACAAAAATTAAATACACTTAAAGTATAGCTAATGAAAATTCCAGGGCGGAACAGAATGGGAATATGAGTGGGTGGAAACAAAAAATGAGGGGGATCTTGGTGAGAGAGAACTCTTTGACCGCGGCTCTCTGCTGATATAGTTATAGCCATCAAGCAGATGTGTATCAGGGGTAAAACGAGTCCTGAATCTGACTCCTAAGGATGAATGTAAAGTTGTTGGTTATATTCCCCCCCCATTAGTGGATACTGTGGGAAGACGATGTATAGGACGTGCTTGAGCAGTTTATCTCAGTATTTCACTCTTATTGTACTCACTGTCACTTAACGCGCATTTAAGAACACAAATTTTATTTCCTGCGAGGATAACTAAATAACTAACTGTAAGCATCGATAAAAATACACTAGATACAATGGCATGGCGAGAAATTTACACATTCCTAAACAAACTCCCCCAAATTTATTGCCCTTCTTAAAGGGAAAGGTTTCCGCATGTGAGTTAGGGGACTTTACTTGAACGTCTCATGTTCTCAAAAGTTTGTATTTCTAGGGAAATAGAGTATTGCAAGGTCTGCTTATTGTTAAACTAAAATGTTAGGAATTCTAAATTTTTTCCCCTTTAAATTATGGTTCAGTTTTATAGAGCTCATCTTATTTAGGGCTCCGGTGTGCTCCGGTTAGAATTGTAATTTATCTTACAAATTGAGAAGTACCGGCGGAATTTAAGCACTGACACAAACTACTACGCACCTGGCAAAAATCAAACTTTTTATTTAAAATACATTTTCTGTATCAATGTTATTCAGGGTCATACTGAAAAAAAATGTATGGACAGACTTTTGCCACCCCATTTTTGGTATGATCTCAATGATCTTTGCCATGGCAACTTTATGATTTCAGTGTTATCATATAAAGTTTCTTTCATCACCATTTTCATGTTGAAAATTAGAAAACATATCATATGCATTACTTTTATTTTGAAATAAACAGTCACATACTTTATGCATTAGGCACATATTTTATGCATGAAAGCACATTTAAACATGCCAATTAAACTTGATTTCTACACCCCATAATAACAAAAATTTAAAGTTATCAAATATAGCTGCAATAAAATAACACGGATAGAAAATTGTTCAACTATAAAAGCTCTGCAGAAAGATCTAATTATAATGCTCCAAAAATGCATTGGCATATAATAATTACTAGATTTAGATCAGCAATTATGTACTAATTGCAAATTGCTTAGATGCAAGCATAATCACAAATTTGTCTCAGTGGATGCTAACAGAAAATCACAAAAGCATAGCAGAAGGCAGAGCCTAAGGAGTCGCTCAAAAACCCAAAGGCCAGCAAATCGAAGGTAAGACACTATACAACTCATTTCTTTAATGCACACCTTAGCTGTGTTGAAAATGGTTTTGCCATTTCAAATTGAAACAAATGAGAAATACTCAGAACATCACCTTGTAACATCTATGACATTAAAATTGTATTTAATAGAAAATATCATCTCAAAAACTGACCAGATGAATAATACAGCAGCACAAACTTAAGCTTTTACTATATTATGCTGCATTACTGCACTTTATTGTACAGACAGCTAATGATATCCTTGATTTGGCATGTCCAGATGTTTGAGTAATCAGTTAATTTCATAGGCTTTTATTTTTGGATGTACACCGAATTAGAAAAAAAAGGAGACATTTTTTTGTATTTTGAAAATGCAACTTACAATATACGTAGGGCTAACCAAATATATATTATATAGCATTACTATATCACCATACAAAGGCATTATCGTAATGTACGAGCTTGGAAATTCCTTCGTGTTCGGCGTGCGCCTTCGTTACATAGCTGTCGCCATGAACGATAAATTGGAATAGGGAATAGTCCCATTTCGTCACGATGAATTAAAAGTTTTCGCTGCGATGATTTTGTGGTCCTGCGATTCCATCGTGATAATTATGATTTTGTGTTCGTTTTTCCGGTTATTATACGAACGAAAACTCAATAAAGTCGTCTTTAAATGATTCATTTTCGTTGAAGAGAATGGCACATTTTTGGACATTCAAAGAACCTTATTACCACAACGCATATCGCATCCCAAATTTCGATGATTGCTTTAAACAGTATCTGCATGACATTTCAGACTGTCATGCAGCCTATCTGAAAACCGCGCTAACACATTATTCTGGATCCCTCAAATCTGACAGTACAAGTCTGTAATCGCCAAATTACAAAAAACAATCTAAAACAAAAATAAAAAAAAAAAAAAAAAAAAAAGTTAATATTTTATTTTTGTTTACTTTATTAAACACTTCTTTTAATGTAAGTTGTTTAAGATGCTTCCACAAAAAATTTAAAAAGTTCCTTTTTCTTGTGTCATATATAGTGGACTTTCCAATTCCATACTTCTCGCATAATTTTGAGACGGATAGTCCTTTATCCATTTTTTGCAGCAATTCCTCTTTTTGTTTAATGGACATCGAAACATGCTTTCGCTTTGTAGGTGCTTTGGCAGCTCCAGAATTGGAAACTGTTTTTGACATAATCGAAAGTTCAAGCTTAATTTTTATAAAATTGTTCTAACAGTCTGCAAAAAATAATAAGCCGGATCCAATTAGAAGATTAAGGACAGTGCAATCTGCAACATTCACTGAAATGCCTTAGATAATTTTAGCCTAGCTTATACCGTCCAGTACACATTAAACGCATTATGTGTTTACGCATGCGCATACAGTTTGTAGCTTTGAGGTCCGGATTATAGATCATTCCGGATTATGGACGTCCGGATTACAGACTTTGTACTGTATATAGCATTGTTCTAAGATACATAATTTGACAAAAATTGGACTTCTTTTGAAATGGGATGGCAATTTTTTTCCATATTTTGATTCTATGATTCAAATTATGCCAAAGTGCCAAGTTTTGTAAAAAGTGCAGCAGCAGCACATCTTTTTAAATTAGCCCTCAAAATTCTATTCCACAATATTAATCGAATTTAATATATATTTATTAATACTTATTTCAGTTATTTTTACTTGATTTCCCTTTTTTTTTTTCAAAAAAAAATTATTTAATTATAACCTATAAAATTTGTAACATGACCTTAAAAGTAGATATATTTTTAGGTGTATTGCAAAAAATTAAAAGATTTTAATTCAAAAAAAAAAAAAAAAGATGCATGTAAATTTATATATTGGCAAATTTTGCAACTTGGCATCTTTGTTTAACCCATTCAGTATGGGCGTGTCATATATGCATCAACAGAAACATTACCTTACGGCCAGATGTGTCATATTTCAATTGCCATTTAATTCACTCTATGGCCGAACATACCACATTTGACGTTTTAGATGGAACATTTAATTAGTATTTTTTACTGCCGCTTGATGTAGCTGTATGTCTGTTAT